CTCCTCCTCCTTTTCCTTCTCCTCCTCCTCCTCCTTTTCCTTCTCCTTCTCCTCCTTCTTTTCCTCCTTCTTCTCTTTCTTTCATCTCCTCCACCTTGTTTTCTTTTCTCTCTTCTTTTTCCCATCCACTTTTGTGTTACAGTAATATACTCTTTTTCTTTAGGCTACCATAAACACCAGACCACAGCAAGTAACAGGATCCACAACAACAGGATCATCATCAGTCCCCTCATCACCAAGTAAATTCAGTAACTCTTACCTACACCACCCCCTTGAGTAAGTATTTGTACTCTCATCAGCCTTATTTAGGGTCTAGAAAGTAGGTTCCGGATCCCAAATCCCCCATGCTGTAATATTTTGCCGTCTTTTTTTGCATTCATTATATTCAAACATATTCAAAGGCATTTACATTTTTATTTTATTCGTTAAAGTTTCACGTTTTTCCCGAAAATCAGAAAGCAAAATCCCACATCCTGGACATTGAATTCAGCAATTCCTAAGTCACAGCCTATGCCATTATCCGGAATCATGTTAGATTTTTGTTGGTTCTCCCCTGTGCTTTGAGGGGTTTTCTCTGGGTGTTCAGGACTCCCTCTGCAAGAATTGACTTCTAAATTCTAATTTGATCTAGTAAAGGGCATGGATAGAGTAGTTTTCATCCATGCCCTTTACTAGATCAGCTTTATGAATCTAGTTGCATTTTCAAATTGTATATATTAGCAGCATACAAGTCACAGAATGCTGTATGTACAACATACGGTAGAGACAAGTAGGAGGTCATCAACTAAACTTTCATTGTAATGTTCTTTTCATTAGTCAAAGCTCACCACCATCACAGTACAGGAGCCAAAGTTCATTAGCCAATACTCCGGTGGCCAGACCAGGAGATCCAATCAAATCTAACCTGGTCAACTCCGCTTTATACCCTCACTCGTATCAGTTCCATGTCAAGAGAAGAACATTCGACAAAGGACCAGAGGTAGGAGTACTATAGTACTATGTACTCTTTAATAAATGAGCAGGAGTGTTTTGGGTATAAAACCAGAGGTGAAGCCAAGTGGTTATAGACCCGATTAATCACGATCTGCGAGTTTATTAAACGGCTTAAAAAACTCATGATGTAAGTTCTCATATTGTACCAAATTCTTTACGAAATGAACCAAGTTTGATAGAGAAATCCAAGTTAAAGTTTATGCAAATGAAGACTAATCTATATCAGATATAAAATCACCTTCATGGTCATGATTTGTATTGTGTTTCCTTCATGAATTATTAATGAGTCTTAAAGGTTTATAAAAGGTTTCTTTTCCTTAAGCTTGGGTCAATCTTCTGGATCAGTCTGTAAATCTTGAGATAGTAGTTTTGGGGCTGAAATTTATCTCATCCATACCATTGAATAGACCTTTTCTGAGATAGTAAATTATTATGATGCATTGTGGTCTAGCTTGGGTACAAACATCTTTTGTCCATTGTGTAGTTCTAAAAATTATCCATACCCCCCTCACGGAGGAATTTTTTAAAGACACCCCCTACCCCAAGAAATTCCAATTTTCTTCCATACAAACTCTGTAATTTTTGTTCTTTCTCTGACCCCCCTACTCTTGGGAAATTCTAAATTCCTCTGTGGGGTGGGTATGGATGATTTCTGGAACTACACATTATGCCTCATATGGTGTTGTTTGTACCAAAGCTGGATCACAATGCAATCTGTTAATCAAACTCAGAAAAGGCCCATGCTTTGCACTGCCATACTGCACTTCAGCATTACATCTGGATTTTTGACTAGTAGATCAGACAGACTATAATTAAAATATATCAGTTTGTAAGGATCAAGAGAAACCACAATTGTTCATGCGCAAATACATTTTAGTAAAACTCATGATGTTGTACATTGTCAGGTTGTTCGGCAAGAGACAGATGAAGACTCAGATGACGAGACTACATCAACCAAACCAAACCCCATCAAGACGGAATTCGCAGAATGGTGTGCTAGCTACTTTGCGCAGTCTGTTATGAAGGTAAAATTCAAATTGACAATGGCCGACTTGCTATTGAACAGGTTGCAAACTACTTTTCCATAACATATGGTACTGCATAATGTTTTTGTTATTTCTAGTTTAACCAATTTGTTTTATTAGTTTAACCAGTTATTCTAGTTTAACCAGTTGTTTCTTGTTTGACCAGTTATTCTAGCTTAACCAGTTGTTTCTTGTTTGACCAGTTATTCTAGTTTAACCAGTTGTTTGTTGTTTCACCAGTTATTCTAGTTTAACCAGTTCTTTTAATTAGTTTAACAAGTTATTCTGGTTCACTCAGTTATTCTAGTTTAACCAGTTATTCTTGACTAGTTCACCAAACTATTCCAGCTTAACCAGTTATTCTAGTTCAACCAGTTTTTCTTTTCTTCCATGGTAGCCTCCAGAGGAGCATGATCCCCAAAGTCAGCTTCACTTGGAAAGAGAATGGAGATTTGAAAGAAACTCACGAGTGAGAAGAGAAGCTGTTAAACAACAAACCAGAGCTGGTAAAATATTTATTCAATTTTGTAAAATGCAACTGTGTTTTTTTATTAAAGGCTTATTTCAATTCTAAAATCTATTAAGCTTTAGCTGTTGTATCACAGCTTGAGACAATTACAATAAAGCTAGGCTCCAGCCAGGTGAAAGCCCAAAGATTGAATGAGAATAAGAATTTAGGAGGTTGAAAACTCAGTAAAAATAATAAAGAAATTGTTTCAAGGTTGATGATTAAACAAATCTAACCAAATGAAGTTAAACCCAACCTACGAACACCTATTAAGGGATTTGAAGAATTTAGTAGTTGATTTTTACGGAGGGAGGAAAACCAGAGAACATGGAGAAAAACCCTTGAAGCACAGGAAAGAACCAACAAACAACTCTACTCACATACGACATCGAGATCGGCAGGACTTGACCCCAGGCTGCATTGGTGAGAGGTGACGTATTAGCAGCACACACCACCCGTGCTTCCCAGGGGTAGCCTCATTTCAATGCACTACTTCGACTTTTACATCTCAATTTTTACTTATTATTTTTTCTCAGCCTCAGGCAAAATAGATGACCAGATTTTCATCAATAAAAACCAATACGCTCCTGGTGTCTTACGCTTTCATCCATATGAACCTCACCTGGTGGTTGCTGACAGGGGTGGAGTAAGGTTGGTTTTAGTATAATAATGATGAGGATGACAATGATGATGATCATCATGATAATGATGATGATGATAATGATGATGATGATAATTTGTTAACTTAAATTGTGCAGTTAATTGTGATATTTTAGGAGAAAGAATTCTCATCTTTTTTTCTTCTAACTTTTCAGTGTATGGAATTGGGAGAAAGGAATGCTATTAAACTACTTTGTAAACAATAACCGCAAGCAGTCAAGAATAACCAGCATGGAGTTCCTCAATGCACATGATCTGACGCTTCTACTGACAGGAACAGGTAGAGTACCTATCATGGCACCTATATGAAAACCTATTAGGACACCTATAAGAAAATATAATAGAGCACCTATCATGGCCCCTATATGAAAACCTATTAGGACACCTATCAGGGCCCCTATATGAAAACCTACTAGGACACCTATTAGGGCCCCTATATGAAAACCTATTAGGACACCTATCAAGACCCCTATATGAAAACCTATTAGGACACCTATCAGGGCCCCTATATTAAAACCTATTAGGACACCTATCAGGGCCCCTATATGAAAACCTATTAGGACACCTATAAGAAAATATAATAGAGCACCTATAAAGGCATCTAAAAGTGCACCTATAAGAGCACCTTCAAGGGCACCTATAAGAGCAGCTATAAGAGCACCTATGGTAGCACCTATAAGGGCACTAAAAGGGGCTCCTGTAAAGGCACCTATTAGAGCACCTATTAGAGTGCCTATAAGGGCACCTATAGGCACCCACTTACCTCCATGTGTATCTGATTAAATTATTTTGTATTTCTAGACGATGGTTCAGTGCGTGTATACAGACACCATGGCAGAGAAAACGGACAGAAGAAAGTAGAAATGGTGACTGCATGGCAAGCACTCTCTGGAATGTTACCATCCACTAGAGGTGAGTGCTGCAATCTTTTCCAAAATAACATATGTGCAGATCCATAAAACTTGTTGAAGATTAAATTTGCTTAAGGGAGGGTTCCTGTTTGCACTCTCATCTTGAACCCAACTAGTAGTTGCTTTATCCCTCTTAGTAATAATAATCACCATCATTATCACTGTCATGAGCACCATCATGATGATGATCATCATCATCCACACCAGCATCATCATCTTCAACATTATCATCATCGTCACCACCGTCACCATCATCGTCACCACCATCTACATCATCACCACCATTACCATCATCATCATCATCCACATCATTATCATCATCACCATCATCACCATTACCATCATCATCACCATGATGATCATCATCATCACCACCATCATCATCATCGCCATCATCATCATCATCAACATTATCATCACCATCATCATTATCATCATCATCATTGTGATTATCATCATCATTATCATCATCATCATCATCATCATCATTATCACCATCATCATAATTTAAACTGCAGAATGTATCAGTTAACAACTGGTGTTAACACAGCTGAAATCTAAATAAAAACTACTAAAATATTAACTTTAATTTGTGTTGTTTCTATGGTTACAAGGGAGTGGTTCAGGTCTGGTAGTGAACTGGGAACAAGAGACAGGTATTTTGCTGGCATCAGGTGATGTTAGGTTTATCAGGGTCTGGGATACACAGAGAGAAATGAAAATGCAGGTACATCAAATTTGAGGATTGTTATATGAGACTGAAATAATATGGTAAAAGGAGAGAAGGACAAAGAATAGAAGGAGACAGAGAAAGGAGGGAGGGAGTAGAGATGGGAGGAAGAGAAGGAGGGAGGCAGAGAGTAGTAGGGACAGAAGGAGAAAGGAAGGATGGAAAGAAGGGAGGATAGGAAAGAATAGAGGGAGGGAGGCAGGGAGGGAGTAGAGATGGGAGGAAGAGAAGGACAGGCAGAGAGTAGTAGGGACATAAGGAACAAGGATGGATGGAAAGAAGGGAGGAAAGAAAAGAATAGAGGGAGGGAGGGAGGCAGGGAGTAGAGATGGGAGGAAGAGAAGGAGGGAGGCAGAGATTAGTAGGGACAGAAGGAAGAAGGATGGATGGAAAGAAGGGAGGATAGGAAAGAACAGAGGCAGGGAGGGAGACAGGGAGGAAGTAGCAATGGGAGGAAGTGAAGGAGGTGAGGAAGAGATTAGTAGGGTTGAGGGTAGAAAGAAAGGATAGAGAGGAGAAAAGGAAAGGAAGGGAAGAAGAGGAAGTGAAGAAGGAAGTAAGGAATTTAAAGTGCACATGAACCCTTCAACAATACATTCAGTACTGATTCTACATGAAGTAAATAGTTGAATGGTAAAATATTTCTTGATTTGAGTGATGCATTTCTAAGTTATGAGGGTTTATACTTCCAATATGCTAATGAGTGTGACGTCTATTAAGGCTTAATTAAATATACAAAATCGAACTGGTTCATAGATACAGTATTTAAAAAGCATCATTATTTTACTCATGGTTTACATGAAAGCTATTTTGAATTTTTATTTTCAAAATGGCCAGCATTTAGTATTACTAGTTACAACAAAAACACTCAAATACCTTACCTGACGTCACCATCATTAACATATTGGAAGTATAAACCTTCATAACTTAGAGACGCATCACTCAAATCAAGAAATATTTTCCCAATCAACTATTTACTTCATGTAGAACCAGTACTGAAAGTATTGTCGAAGGGTTCATTTGCACTTTAAGGAAATGAAATAAAGTGAAGGAGAATGAGGGAAAAAAGGAAGGAAAAAGTAATATTCCTTCTCATTTTAATTGATGATATGATATTCCCACAAGTAAAATATTTTTAAAATTTCTTTTTAGGATATACCGACAGGAGCCGATAGCTGTGTTACAAGTCTGGCCTGTGATTCAGTAGGAAGATCATTATTGATAGCTGGGTGTGGCGATGGATCCGTCAGATTATACGATAGAAGACTGCCGCCATCAGATAGGTAAAAACCTTGGGGAAAATACTGAATCATCCTGAAACTCCAGTCCTATGATGACCCTTGACAACTAGTGTGTTCTTAGGGGGTTAGGGTGGGGATATTTTTTGTACCAAGTGACTGAATGTTGACTGTGTCTAGTCATGTGATGGCCCTCAGGGAGCACAGTGGATGGGTTACTAATGTGTTCTTAGGCAGGGTAGGGTGGGGATATCTCTTGTACCAGGTGACTGAATCTTGCCTGTTTGGTTTCTAGTCATGTGATGGCCCTCA